AATATTCAAACAAACAGGCAATCTGAAGTAACCAAAGCAAAATGTGGCAAGATTTATGGATAAACAATCGATAAGTCTAATTACATGTGATATTTGGACTATTGTGTGATTTATAGCCAGAAAAACAACACATGCCTGTGCAATGTAACATTCGGTTGGTTTTCGCTTTTGTTAATGCTACATCCCTTAATGGTGCAGCGACGCATTTTTATTAATACCTTATTGTTCTCACTGTCAATATTTCTGTCCATTTTATTACAATTCATGCGGATATTTCAAGAAAACACTTGGTAAAACATTTGTTTAGACATTTGATGTACTTCCCTTTGACAACGGTATCATGTACTTTGAAATGGACACTTTTTGGCACAAACTAATGTAATGCTGTCTCTTTAGGTTTACGACAGCACGCAGTAGTTAAACAAAGACAATAACATATTTATGTTTTCAACGTTGAAATGCTTCATATCGATGCAAGAAGTCATCAAATAACATTGACGAAATTATTCTAAAATTGGTGTAACATGGGTTTTATACTAGTTACAGCAATTGCGTTTTCAAAACCAAGCAGCAATTTTGCTGTGTATTGTAACATATGGCGCAATAAAATACCACACGACTTTCAAGAAGTGATTTTGATTTAACTAATATGGAGTCCAATATGTTGGTCCATTTTGTTGATGTATTTAATGTAGTTTTTAGAAATAGGGCGTATATTATGTTTTAAATATGAATAAAACTACAACTCTGCTACGTTTAAAATGCCGTAAATATTTATTAAAATGAAAATGCAAAAACTGCACTTTGTACGCTGTTATAATGAAATTAAATCAGTCTCTATCTGAAAAACAAAATAATCAATTGTTCTGGTTTTATTACTTCTGACCAAGCAAGTTTATACATTATATATTAAATAATTATATATATTTTTAAATTAATTATTAAGAAATATTTTTGCAATAACTTGTGACTTAGTAATTTTTAACAAATCACATCCTAAAAACACCAATGCAACAGGTCTTTTTTTTTTAAAAACTGCTGTTTTTTAAACTGTTTTGTATCGTTTTTCGCAAATGTCTTCTATCTGTTTTAATTCCTCCTTCCTCGCACGACGTTTTGCCATCAAAAATAAGTATTAGTAAAATTGAAATAAGTACATACAATACTTCAATTTCGACCGTTCCTACGTAAAGTATCGTATGTCGAAATTGCTAAGTTACAGGGGAGCGTTTTTAAATTTTGAATTCACTGAAAGGAGCATAACACGTGACTAGCATTTGTCGGACTTGTTCGGCAAAGCTCGTTACTCACATAGACTATTATAAAATCCCAGATATCGGTTAGATGAACCACCACAATTTATTTTATAATTTTATACTAACGCCGATGTGAGTCAGAAAGCAGGTAAGCCAAAATGAGACTGGGTGGGTCACGGCTGCCGCATGGTGGTCGTAGGCGAAATCTACTACAGAATGGATCCCCAAAGACAGGTATAGGTTCATAATATTATAATAATAATAATAGTAACGTACTAACAAAACGTATTTATTTTATCAGTTGTATATTGTTTAACCTGTTGTTAATAAATTATCAAACCCGGGTTCGATTCCCGGTAGGACCAATTTGGATTCAGATTCAGATTCATTTATTTCTCAAATATAACATTACAGTATAAATTGCATTACATGTCAAAGTATAAGAAATTATATTGAGATAGCCAGACAAAAAGGAAAATTATAAGAAACGCACACAATAATTAGAAAATTAACAATTCATTATATAATATTGTTGTCATTAAATTACATATCAAATGAACTTTTCATTTTTTTTTTTATTATAATAACAAAGTGACGGGACGAACGAGTGATGCTCCTGATGGTAAGCGACGCGCCAACCTATACTGTTCCTGCGTCTGTCACCTTGAGAAAAAGTTGACAAGTCTCGTTTGCTTGCAGTTTCACCAGCACCCTTACCCTTCATAATCGAAACCGCCAAGCAGTAATGCTCATATTACTTCTTGGCGGCTGAAATAGGTGAGCTGGCAGTACCTCTCTGGACGAACTCTTTCACAAGGGGCCGTACTGCTACAATATGTTTACGTGACGGACAAGGCTAGCGATATGAAATTGTGTATATTATAGCTATCTTTGTCATTTAATCGTCACAGCAAAAATTGTAATAATTTTCATTGCATCGTTCTAAAACGACGACACAAAAAATGGCGAGTTTTCGTAGTTACAGTTTTTACATAAATTATTTTTTTGAAGTTGTTATATATGTATTTCAGATTACTTTCATATAAGGAACTGTATTAAAAATGTTCCCTTCACCTTTTTCCTATTATTAATATGCAACAACCTGATTATTTTTATTGTTTCTGTTTATTTGTTGGTCGTGTTCAATTTTTACGTTGATAAAATTACGCACGGTAATTGAACTGTCGAAATGTTTTAATATGAACTGAGATTTTGCCGCCATGTTTGACACTGTGATATTCTGCAGAAAAGTTTCTTTCCCAAATTGGTTCTACCCTGGACCAAGAGCTACAGAATTCACTCCTCAGCACTACCCGAAACACATAGGCTAAAACCACTGTAGAAAAGTTTCTTTCCCAAATTGGTTCTACCGGAAATGAAACCCTGAACCAAGAGCTACGTAATTCACTCCGCGGCACCAACCAAAACACCCAGGCCAAAACCACTGCAGAAAAGTTCATTTCCCAAATTGGTTCTATCGGGAATCGAATCCGGGACCAAGAGCTACGTAGTTTGCTCCGCGGCACTACACAGAACACTATGTTATTATGTTTTTATGATAGCCTCAACATTTAACAATAAATACAAAAATCCAAGCCAAAAAAAACAAAAATAATCCACGAAATAACAATACAATATGTTTATTATTAGTTGAAACACTATAAGGCGGGACTTTGCTGAGGCTCTAGTGATGCGCTCAAAACGATACACAAACGAAAGGCATGCTTACGAATGAACATAATGTGCAATCTGACAAACAAAGCACATACGCAGATAGAGAGATAACTTTTCTTGGTGATGGTGGGTCAATAAACCTAGTATATATTTTAACACCCCGCGTGTTACATCCTCAAAAAGATTATCCAAAATTCTCGCAGCGAGCCGGTAATCGCTTACAACTTTGCTATCAGTAAGTGATACCAAGAAACTGCGATTCCTTTGACAACGTCTCTCTACTTCGTCTTCGCGTATTTCTTGTCCGAGCGCCTCCACAACTAACAGTATTCATTCACAGATTCTTAAGCTTTCTTGGACATTTTCTGTATAATAAAGTGCACCGCAGCTGGACGTCTTTGTGGCTTGTACATGTTTGGTGCTTGTTCCTTCAAAATGCGTAATGTGTACTTAAATTTTCAAGACCCTTATGTACCTATTATTTGTATTTTGTGGAAAAATAAACATTATTGTTACAAACAATGTGCATAGTTACAAAAACTCGTGGATTACGTCGGTAAGCGCTACCGACAGTTTCCATTTTGTTTGTTTCCCTTATCACATGTTTACTTCTAATATTATGTCTAATGTGTACATTATTACCACCAAGTAAAAACAGATTAAATAAATAAATATAAACTTCTCATATTTACACTTTAAAATTATTTTTTTGTGGGGTCTGGATGTTGCCTGGCTGGTTAGCAACCAATCAATTACTTAAAACATATTACTGTAATTATTTTTATAGTAGTTGTAATGGCTATAAATAAAGTTATTATTATTATTATTATTTTATTTGTATTTTTTTTATTCTGGGGTACATATTTAATTTTGTTGCACAGAAACATAACCAAATTTAACCCGGCTGGATTTGAACCAACACCCTCAAGCAATCCCTGCCAGATGCTCTGCCAATTAAACCACAGAGCGAACCAGCAGACCTTTCGAATTTTTGTTTGTGTTGGTTACAGATCTTTGTGTTTGGTTTTTAACGACTTTTTTGCCGGAGCGTATTTTAGTAGTGGATTCGTCTTAGTATTTCCATCTTTGTTCTAAAAATAATTCACTACCATGGTAGTAAAACATCATAATTTTCAATAAACTTACAAGTCACAACCAAATTTACTTTACGTAATCAATAAGAGTGGGCAAAAGGCTTCGAAATCAAAATAACTAAAACTATTTTTCTTTCTTGACTCACTACTCTCTCTTAAGAAAATCGCCCACTTATTAACGCAAAATCAACTAGAGCCAGTCAGAAAAAGTTTTATGTCCATGCAAAGAATAAAAAAATACATTGCAAGTTTCGTTACGGGTCGAACCGCGGCGCGTCTCACGCCGACGAGAAACGAACATCTTTTTCGCTCTTATTACAAGCTTCTTATGACCGGCTTTATCATGACTCTCTTGAAGTCATTATCTACAAATTTAAAAGCGAGTATTCGTTGGAGGCAGGCGCATCGTGTAACTTGTAACTGTTTGTTCTATTCATAAATGGTTTATTTATTTGGGGCAATTTGTGTTGCTAATTTTGAGAGAGTAAATAACAACCACAAAAAAAATACATTTAAGAGTTCGTCCTGGGAAGCACTGCCGCCTTATCTATTTCTGGCAGTGTCCCTCAGATCTTTGCGATTTAAAGCTCTGAGTGGTACTGCAACTGTTATGGCCAGGCGTGTTGCTTACCATCAGGCGCACGACTTGTTCGTCCCATCACTTGATATTATGAAAAAATACCTAAAAACATATTAGACGATAAATGATAACACTCATAGGTACTCTCACATTATTTGCTTTACACTTTTATTATTGTTTGCTTCGCAATGCTTCCATTTCATGTGTAGATAATATTTCTCATTGTTACCAAATCTACAATATTGAAGGTTGTGGTTGGGAAACAGATAATAATGGTTGAATTAATTGATCTCGACGTAGAGAAAGATAGTCAGAAGAATAACAACGAGAGTGACGAGTGTGAGGAGTTGGCAGATCAAGAGAAGGTGGATATGGATAAAATTATTACAGAAGTCGGTCAACTTGGTCGCTACCAGATAAAAACGATGGCGTACGCGGCGATTTTGATCATTTTCACTGCTTTCTCCTTTTTGGAGAACGTGTTTACAACAGCCAGGATCAAGACTAGGTAAATAAAAGTAAAATTGTTATAACAATGTGGCAAATAAACATAAACAAACTACCGAAATTCCTTGTGGAAAATAACCTTCAAAATTAATAATACAATACAATGTTAAAGGAAATAGAAATAGCAGAAAGCGTTATACGAGATTGCAGGTGTCACATTCCAGAATGTGAAAACTCAATGGAGCAGAATCTAACCCCTCTGTGGCTTGCGCAAGCAGTTCCTTTGTCGAAGTACGGCTATGACAACTGCCATCGGTTTGCCGCCAGCAACTCTAGCAACTCCAGCGCACCAACAAACAGCATCAATTCGTGCCCGTCGATTCTTTTCGATCACAGCCTTATTGAGCCTTGTGAGGAGTTCATCTATGAAAACAAAAACACAATCGTATACGATGTATGTTTGGCCAAAATAAGAATATAGATTTTAGATACTATGGTAATAACAATTAAAGTTAAATTTTTAGTTTGGTTTGGCGTGCAGCGAGTGGCGGCGATCGATGATCGGGTCAGTGCGTATGCTGGGCATGATGGTGGCGATGCCGCTGGTTGGTTTCGTGTCAGACCTGCGTGGACGTCGTACGGCGCTCCTCATCTCCGTCTTTTGCAAAGGCTCTATCGGCATTACAAGATATTTTGCTAACTCTTACACTTACTTCATTATATCGGAATTTTTGGAAGGTGCTTTGGCATCTGGCACTTTCTCTTGTATATATTTATTATGTAAGTAATATCTTCTTATCGTAACGACGGCATAGATATAATGCTTGCTATCGTGGTGAAAGGATTTCGCAATCGGCGCAATGGTATCGCCGATTGCTGCCCAGGCCTCTCTAGACGCACTCTCACAAGTAAGTAATGGTATGTTTAAGTAATATTAAAAAGTGTAAGTAATAATAAAAAGTATATAATAAACCGTATTTGCCCTTTTACACCAATAGAAACCATGTTGGGTAACGTTACGTATGTTTTATTTTTTTCACAGTAATGGAGACAGTGGGACCTCGATATCGAGTAGGCACTGGTGCATTCATAAGCACGTCTTTCGCTGTAGGACACATGCTTCTGGGGTGGCTTTCCTGGGCCGTACCGCACTGGAGAAATTTAACTTTACTGTGCTATGCACCCCAATTCATCTTATTATTGATTTATTCCCGAAAAATATCAGAATCGCCGCGTTGGCACATTACCAAAGGTTGTTACGACAAGGCAGAAAAAATCTTAAAGCAAATGGCTCGTACTAATGGAAAACAGTTGTCTGAAAAATCGGTGCAATTGTTACGACAAACTCGAAATGGTAAGGGACGAGCTCAAAGCATAAAAAATTATCAAACAGAGCCAAATCTTGTAGTGCTAGTGTTCCGCCACAAGCCCATGTTGTTACGGTGCCTAGTGTCACCGCTTCAGTGGATAACGTTCTCGCTAATTTACTACGGGCTATCGATCAACTCCATCAACCTTAACATTGGCAGCAAGTATTTGAATCACATGGCGGTGACGTTCATCGAGATTCCCGGCTATTTGCTTGCATTGGCGCTACTCAACCGGATCGGGCGAAAGCCAGTGTTGACCGGAGGCTTTTGGGTTTGCGGAGCTTGCCAAATAGGCTACATTTTCACGCCCGCTGGTGAGTGCTGTTCGGTTCTAGTTGTTTTAACTTTTTTGTCGATTTGTTTCTGAAATGAAATTTCGTCTGTTGTGTTTATAGGTCACCCTAACCTATCACTAGCGTTGTACGTCCTAAGCAAGTGCTGTATCTCGGCAGTGGCAATGTCCCTGCACATTTACACGTCCGAGCTGTACCCAACCCCGCACCGCCACCGGTTGTCGTCCGTCTCAGCGTCCATAGGCCGACTGGGCGCCATTATTGCGCCACTTACACCTGCTTTTGTTAGTAGTCAATTTCAATATTTATATGTACTATAGGTAGCATCGTGGTTATGTATTTTGTTTATATTGTACACGACCAAGAATTAGGATTAGGAATTATTTTCGATTATCCCTTAAAATATAAAAGGAATACTTTCAGTTTATTATTTTACTTATTTACTTACAGCTTATTCTACCTGTTGGTATGGTTAGTATACTTAATTTATAGTTAGTCATGTTATGTGTAAGGGTAGCCTGTAGCGGTCAAAGACTTTTTTTAACGTCACAAAATCGTCATGGATACCCTCCGCCCGGGGGAAGCGAAGGCTTATGTCGAATTCCTACCGACTATAACGTAACGGTGTTCCCTCTCGTCACCATATAGACCGGAGTCACAGGGGCGCTTTCGCGTTCTTCTGCGACTCCGACGGTGAGCGGTCAAACCCATCTCTATTTACGGGGAGAGATATTAAGATAGATTCTAAGACAGCAATAAATAGTTTTGGTGATAGAGGGGCTTCCTGGTTTACTCTTTGCTCTACATGAAAACTCGGTCCTTTCTTGTCTAGTCGTACTCATATTTTACTTTGTGAATAAATTGTTTTTATAAGTTCAATATATTCATGTTTAACTCCTTGTTAATTTAACGCTTGCCGTATAGATTTGTGCGTTATAAAGTCGAAAGCTTTTGAATAGTGTATACGTGAATGCTATGTATAGCGGTAGGTCATACTCAATGTATTTTTCAGTAAGCAATTTAAATTTATGTAAGTAGTCTGTCGTTGAATAGTGCTTCACAAATCATGTTCAATTGGCTGATTTTCTTCAATTATCTTTGTCACGCGTCGCAATAGGGTTGTTGCGAATACTTTGTATAAATAGGATACGGGACTGATGTGCCTGTAGTTTGTTATTAATTTTGGATTTCCCTTTTTATAATTCTTTGTAAAATGTAGTATTCTATCATCATCGAATCTAGTCGATGTGTAACTGTTGTCCTTGAAGTATGCATTATCATCTGTTTGATATTGTCTAATTTTTTGTATACTTGTTTTATTCCGCCTGTTTCCGCTGTGAATTGTCTGATTACACTTATCTATAATTGTAAATATGTAAATAAATGTGTTAAGCTGTACAATCTGCTTCTTCTTGTTTAGATTTTTCTTGCCTCTGAGTATGAATTTTTCCGCTATAAGCTCTTTTATTTCTCGTGTTATTTGCTATTTTCGTGTTATTTATTATTTTGCTATAGTGTTACTTGCTATTTTCAATTTGGTTTCTGGTAGAGTATTTAAAACTATCATGTAAAAATAATTCTAAGTTCTTTTTCAGTTCTTCTATGGTGTCGCAGTCATGCATAGAGGGCAATTCTAATACATTACTGTCGTTTGATTTTGTTTTGTTATTGTAAACACGAGATTTTTTTCTATATTTTGTGTGCTTATGGTAATTGCACAAAATTATGGTCACGATCTATGGTCGCTAGAATGTTGTAGTTTGTTTATTACATTAAAATGGTATATGTACTTATATGTTTATAGTTATAAAGTCTATTTCATTTCCAATTTTTCCCTCAGGTAATGCCCAGGTCGTTCTCAGTTAATTAGGCTTTTTGAACAATGTGTTAGCAATTTTTTATTTGTTATAAAAACAGAACTGTAGAAACATATCGTTGATTTTTTTCCATAGGCATAGTCTCCCATTTCCTATCGGTCGTTTTGTTCTGGATGTCCAATTTTGGCGTTCATATCTTCCATGAATATTATACTTCCTGTACACTTGCTCATAGCCGTCTCCAGCTCGCCGTACATACTTTCGATATCTTCTTGTGGGGCTTTTCGAGTGGGAGCACACGTCTGAATTATATTGTATAGTTTTCCATATAGTATGTTAACCTGCAGTATGCAACTGTTGCTATAATTTTTTTCACTTTTGTGGAATGGTATTTTGTTTACAAGAAATCCAACACCTTTCTGCCCTTTGGTTTTACCATAATAAATAAGGAAATAGTTTCCTGTATTTTCTAATTTATAACCTTCTCTTCTCACCTCTGCTACTCTAATAATATTCCAATTAATTTACGACATTGCAGGTTCTATTTCAATTATTTTAGTTTCGTTTATCAATGATCTGAGATTGAAAGTTGCTATATAAAATTTATTTTTTATAAGTGAAGGGTCTACAACCCCCTTTCTCGAACAATGCGAGGAAATAATAAAATAATAAAGAATGAAGGAGAATGTATAATAGAAAAAGTAATATAAGTTTTCCATGACAAATTTTGTTTTAAATTAGACGGAGTCTCCATTATTATATTTTCGCTCTTCTCACAGGAACTCATTTTCGTGACGAAAATATAAAAAACACAAAAAGAAATAGAAATAAGAAAATAACTTTTCCAACTCACTAGCACGGAAAGGCTTTCTTTCTTCGCACAAAAGCGTCTAAATTCGCGCGCGTGGAAATTCAGAATTCATCCGAAGATAAACTTTTTCTATTATTTAAAAAAAAGTGATGTTTTATAATTCAACTGTATTTCTTTCATCTACCATTTTTCTCGCTGTATTGAGGTGAAAAGTTGCGTGTTTCGCTCGGCAGCAAAGTTGTTTTACGTCTCGTGGCTTGAAACCCTCGCTACGCTCAGGAATCTATGTTTGAGCTACATAGTTTCAATCTTCGCTTCCTTCGCTTACTCAGGTTTCCATACAAGCACTCGCGTCAAACAACAATTTTGCAGCCTTGCATAACAAATAACAGTTCTTTACTTAATCTTTGGTGGTGCAGGTATGTCCGTGCACCGTAATTAACGCAAAATA